AGGTGAGGCGGCCGGATCTTCTCCGCCATCAGCTGCTCCTTGATCTTGTTAATCAGGACCAGGTTGTCCAGCTGCGGGCGGGAGAGGAGAGGGACTCAGGGAGCGTGGGCGGCGCCCGGCCCCTTCCNGCCCGTCCGCCAGCAAGCCCCCGCCCGCCCCTCGCCCCGCAGGCCGCGGCCAAGGCTCCAACGCTCCAGGCAAAGCAAAGCAGTAAGAGGGGGAGGGCGGCCGGAGGGGTGGCGCTCTGTCTTACCTGGCTGGGCATGGTGGGAGGAGGGGGCCAGAAGTAGGGGTTGTTAAACCGAGGCTCGGCCATCCTGCGGGGAGAGAGCGACTGTCACAGGGAAGAGGGCCCTCCCCACCAGCCTGAGGGGAGCTCAAGGCTGGGCCAGTGTCTGGGATGCCTGCCCCGGTGAGACCCTCACCCTGCAGCAATGCAGGCATCCCACCAGGGCCAGGGAAGGACAGCCCCAGGGAAAAAAGTCTGGAACTCAGTGTCTCCCTCAGGGGGCCCAGAGGACAAAGGTCACACCCACACCGGAATGCTCCCAGCCCCCTGGCGGACCAATGCCCATGCCCCAGAAGGACTTTAGCTGCAGAGCCAACCCATGGACCCACGATTCCACACTGAAGCCCGCCCCCCCCATCCCATTCAAAGACAAACTGGAATCCTGGGGCAACTCTGTAAATGGCCACAGGGCAGAGGCAACTGCCCATCCCTCATCCCTGCTCTTAGAACCAATGGCCTCTCTAGTGCAGACATCCTCATGGGAACACAGGGGGCAACCTGAGCCATCAGATACCCTCTTTCTGAAAGGCACTTTGGCAGGACCACTTACAAAGACCCAAGTGATTATTGGCCTTTGACTCTGGAAAGTTGCCTTTAAGAAACAAGCCTGGCCATGCGTAACCCTTTACCTGCAGGAATATGTCAGAACACTTGTGCACAGGAGGGCTTGAGGAGACCTGAGGCTAGGGCAGTCTGGGGCTCTTCAGTAAAAGTATGTGACAATCTGTCTGGTGGCCCTCACCTTGCAGTTCCCATGGCAGGCCTGTGCAGTTAGAAGGCCTTTTCAACCAGGGAAGTATGAAGGATGGGCATTGAGCGCTCTCTTAGTCTTCTAGGGGGTCCAAGTCCTCCTGTGACCCTAGAGTAAGTCAAGAAGTGACTTACAGGGACCATGCTGGACAGAGGTATTCCACTGTCTTGCTTCCCATCCAATTTCTCTTACTTATCTCTCTTACAGAAATTACTAACTAAATGCCTAACTGATATCATTGCTTAAGTGAACTTTATTTTGATAGGCAAGGCCAAAACGAAGTGCCTTCAACCTCTTTTCTTGGTCCTACAAGCCTGAGAAGCCCCTACTAGAATTGCACACAGAGGATTTCCAGAGAAAACCGTCAGTAAGATTATAACCTAATCTCAACACTTTAAGAAAGATCTTTTATGTTAGTTATCTCTTATGGTCTTTACTTGAGAAGAAGGCACAGGAAGTATTATAACCCGATATTCTAGGTGAAGAAACTGAGGCCTGGAGAGAAGGGAAGAGAGCTGCTCAAGACCACAGGGCTAGGGTTCCAGAGTCAAACTAGAAATCAGATTTGCATAAGTTGGTTCCTCTGGGGAATTTGCTTTGCAAACCCCAGTGCTCAGTTGGGTAAATGTCCACATGCCAATAACTCAATACCTATATGCAAAAATCCTTGCCTCTCACTTCCAGCCTGCGGGTAGTTTGGGTCTAAGCCTGGCCAGCCTGGGGATCAAAGTATCTTCCTCTGGGGTGGCCAGGGCAGCCCCTGCCTCTAATATCCCTCCTGCTCCCACCACTCACAGACACCAAGCTGCCCTTCCCTCTACCATCCCTCAGAGCCCCACACAAGACGCACTTCCTGCCTGGATTTCTCCCTGAATGCTCCAGATCCCTGGGACTTCTCTCTCAGAAAGACCTCAAAACAATAACAACAGTGAGGAGGCTGCCTTTTACCAAGTGCCTACCTTGTGTGAGGCACACTGGAAGGCAGGTACTCTCATCGCCCACATTTTACAACAGAGGAAACTGAAGTTCAAAGAGGCGGAATGACTTGGTCAAGGTCACACAGCAAGTAAGCAAAGAGCTGAGATTCCCACTCTAAACTGCCTGACTCCGAAGTCCAGCTTATCAGTCCCTTAGCTGTTTCGGCCCAGAGGTTATTAATAATGCAAGTTGCATGAAAGAATGCATAAATGAAGGAATAATAATCAGAATTATTTTAGACAATCCCACACAATTATCTAGTGCTGCTGGCACTTTACAAAGCTATTCTGTACCCCCTGGCATTTTCATCAGAGCCCCAGGAAGCAGGGAAAAATTTTCACCCCCATTTCACAGAGGAAGAAACTAGGGCACTAGGAGGGAGGGAAGCACTTTCTCCAGGCCACATGGATGGGGAAACAGGAGGGAGCACTGGACTACAATGGTGGGCATCATTTTTCTGAGCATCAATTTTCCTCATCTGTAAAATGGGGTGAAACAGTCCTGGTCCAGGGCTCTGCCCATTGCAACCAGCTCTTCCTCAGATAGTTCTGGGGGAAAGCTGTGCTCTCCTCTTCCTCCAATTCAATGCCAAGTTCAGGCTTCCCAAAGTCCGACCCTGGTCAGAAAGGTATAGGGAAGAGCGTGGCTTGCCTAGGGTCCCGTAGCTGCAACAGAGCATCTTCTCTGCCGTTTACCAGGCCCCCAGCCAGGCAGACCACTCCTCACCTGGGCCACAGCAGGCCCACAGAGGGGAAGGCACTGCCCTGAGTCATTTGATCTGATCTGCACAACTTTGCCTAATGTCTGCATCCTGCTCTGGCTGGTCTGAAATAATTTAATTATTCAGTCAGTGACCCTGGCCCTGGTGTATACCTACTGTGTGTCAGATGCAGGGAAGGCCGGCTGGGGCAGGATGGGGAAAACGCTTGCTGAGCTCCTACTGTCAGACACATTGCTAGGTGTGCACCAAGAGTATCTCATGTGAGTCCCCCAACACACCTGGGAGGTGGGTGTCCACCTCTGCAACCCCAGGACCTGCATGACAAGGGGACCATGGTAAGGGGGGGGAAGGTGACCAGGGCCGGACTAAGCAGCTTGGACCTTGTCTTGCAGGAGGGTTTTAAGCAGGAGAGAGACTGGTGAAACGTGCATTTAGGACAGGTGGACGAGGCAGAGGGCATCCCGGCAGAGGCACCAACTCAAACAGAGGCATGGAGATATGACAGTCCAAGGCAGCTTTGGGACAGTGAGCAGCCACCCACTGACATCAGAAAGAGTACTGAAGAGTGGTGAGGGGGTGAGAGACACAGGTTCTTGAATGCTGCGCTAAGGTGCTGGGATGGGTGCTGGTGGTGAGAAGGCATCAGGAAGTGTGCTGGGCAAGGGGAGCAATGAATCTAGGGGCCAAGGCAGAGGGAGAAGCCTGAGGACAGAGGGATGGAGGCAGAGCACAGCAGGTGGGCGGGGGCTGCATGTCCATGGCAGAACAGGCAGAGGATACACGTTGGTGGTTGCGCAGGGAACGTGGCCTGGGCTTCATGGTCCAGAAAGAAGCCTAGAGTCGGTACTGAGAGTCCTGAGATACACAGCACTGATCTTGCAGTGGGGCAAACAAGCTGTCATTTTGGGTTTTTGCTCTAAAAGGGGGGAAAAGTTGGATGGGTGGATGAATGAGACACCTCCTAGAGCTGCCTCTGAAAACAGCATTCTTATGGCAACTGGCCCATCCATCCATCCGCCCATCAACACATCCATTGATTCTGAATACATGCTATGGGCCAGAGAACCAGTGCTGGGGAACCTGAGGCAAACAGAAGAGCCCTGCCCTCTGGGAGCCCCAAGCTAAGTGGGGGAAGCAGACAAGTGACCCAGGTTTCTGCAAAAAAGAACTTTTGCCTATGAAACCTACTACGTGCCACCAAGGACCTCATGTGGTCAAAGCCGACAGGCCACCTTCCAGTCCTACATGGCATCCCTGTCACCTGGGCCCTTTGGGAAGATCTGTGTGCCATGACCCCTAGGTCCCTCATCTCAGTCTCTTTCACAGCACTCCCACTGGGCTGCTTAGAATAGGGTAGGAGCTTCCTCTCCCACTGACCTCAATACCTGGGTGGCCCATCTACTCTAGGACTTTAAATACCAGTCAAACCCAAGTCTCCACCTGCAGCCTAGGCCTCTCCCTGGAGCTCCAGGCCCAGCTTTCCAGCTGCTTCCCTGACACATCCCTCTGACTATCTCAGGGCCTCTCAGACTCAGCAGGCCCAAGCTGGACTTGGTCTTCCCCTAAGATGGGCACCTCCTCTAGCCATTCCCAACTCCAAGAGGGCATCCCCATCTGCCCAGATGTTCTTGCCCATATATACATTGATCTACAACATGTCCCCTCCCTCCCTTCCCAGTTCAGATCCACCACCAGCCACGTCCTCAGGATTCTCACTTCTTTCCACAAGTCCTAGCTACAATCACCTCACCTGGCCCATGGAACAGCCCGCTTTGCTTGGAGCCCAATGCACCCAGGTTCAAATCTTGGCTCCAACTCACCAACTGTGTGATCTTGGGCAAGTCACTTGCTTCTTCCCCGCAAGTAAGGGATGAGCAGCCCAGAGCCAGGGACCTGACCCAGGATGGAAAGAAAGGATCTGGGAGGACTTCCCAGGGGAGATGATGCCTGCTTTGGGTCTTAAAGGATGAGTGGGAGTTAGCCAGGCAAAGGAGGAGTGGGGAGCATTCTTAGCAGGAGCAGCAGCCTCAGCAAAGGCCAAGGTGAGAAGCAACACGGGGAGCTAAGGCATTCTGGTGTGGACTGGGAGACAGGACACGAGGCTGGAGCCAGATCCAGAAGGTCAATTCCTGAATCCTGGGCCTGGAGTCTAGACTTAAAGCAGTGGGCGATGAGAATCTATGGTTTAGAAAGACCCCACTGACTGCCGAGTGTAGACAGGACTAGAGAGGCCAGGAGTGGAGGCAGTGAGAGAACACCCATCAGGAGGCCCCTGGGGAATGGAGGCGATAGGCAGGGCCAAACCTGGGCCAGGCAGGAGAATGACCAAGGGGGCCTGGCTATTTGGTTGAGCTGGAGGCCAAGGAAGTATGTTCAGGTTGCCACCCATGGTGTGGCCTGGGAGATCCTCTGGATAGCAATGTGGACAGACATGGCCACAGGAACATGCAGATATAGACAGCACCAAACTCAGCCACACATGACAGACACAGACCTGTAGCCCCAAACATGGACAGACAGGGATACAACTCCCATGAGTAGGAACCCACAACTACCAAGACACGGAGTCACAGGCAGATACTGTTAAAGTGGGTACGTGCACACAGCCCTCCATGCAGACCCAGAGGGAGGCAATGTGGGGCGCTCGGGGAAGCTGGGATGAACACAATGGCTTAATTCCCCCAAAGAACAAACCCCTCATTGACAGGTTTCAACCTGGAATCACAGGCTGCTTACCTAGAGTGTCCTTTCCCACTTGGTGAACTTCTACTCATCCTTCAAGACCCAGCTCAAGTGTTCCCTCTTCTACGGAGCTTTCCCTGAACCCCCAGTCAGTCACTTCCTCTGTGTTCCCAACAGCACCTTGTATATGAGAATAACAATAACAATAATAATAATAAAATGGCAGCTACAGTTGATTTCAACACTTATTATGTGCCAGGCACTGTGCTATGTCATATGCATCATGTCACTGAATCTTCCCAATGACACTGAAAATATGCATTTAACAGAAGAGGAAACAGCAGCTCAGAGAAGTTGACCAACTTGCCCAAAGTCACACAGCTAGCAAGTGATGGAGTTAGGATGCCACCCAGCACCACAGGGACAATCAAACCCTGGGGCAGTTATCTGCCTCCCTGGGTGACTTCCCTGCCAGACTATGAGCTTTTCCAGGTAGGAATGGTGCTTGTTCACCTCTGCCATTCCAGCATCTAGCCCACGGTGGTTTCAGAAACTCTTCATAGAATGGAAAAGTATCATAATGCCGACAACCTTTTCTTGAGCACTTACAATGGGCCAGGAACTGTGTCAGGGCATTTTACAGCCATTATTTTACTGTTATAATAGGCCCATTATAAGGAAACTGAGGTCCAGAGAGGTGAAGTAACTTTTCTGAGGTCATAGAGCCCAGTCTGGGTTTGAAACCAGGTCTATCACCCTGTACCAGGAGGGTGGCCTCTGAGGCCAGCCTAGCAAGCTCCACAATGGAGAACTGGGGGAGGAGCACTCACGAAGGGGTACAGCCAGTGCCAGGCCCTACCACCCCAGGAGGGTGAGGCCTAGACAAAGAGGACGAGTAGCCCAGGGTAGAATGTGACTGGCCTTACCCACTGTAGGGCAGGGGGGTGTGGTTAAGCAATTAATGTCCCTCCCCCAACCTCAGCCCATCCCACAGACATTAAAAAATGAGAATTGCCCAGTCCCGGTGGCCACAAAGCAAATGGGAGGGAACAGGACCCAAAACTGTCGGGACACTATGATTACAAGGATGCAAAAATAAAAACCTGCGTCAGAAAAAGCCAGCAGCAGGGAACCACGCCCAGAGGGAGGCTGGGCGTGCTGGGAAGCAGCTGGAGCTGGTCAGACTTTTTGTCTTTGTTTCTCTGATTTCCAGGTTCTCTGTAATATTGTTCGGCTGCTTTTCCATTGAAAACAATAAATTTATTCTTTAAAAAATGAAAGAGAAAGAAGGAAGGAAGGAAGGAAGGAAGGAAGGAAGGAAGGAAGGAAGGAAGGAAGGAAGGAAGGAAGG